TATATATATATATATATATATATATATAATAGTGTGTGTGTGTGTGTGTGTGTGTGTAATATATAATATATATATATACACACACACACATATATATATTTCAAGATATAGGTGATTGCGTGGGATATAAAAAATTTCTATGCAAAATTTCTATGCAAAAAAATATATTGAATACAATGAACAAAAAGGAATTTTTTGGTCAAAAAAATAATTTTTTTACAAATTATTAAGATTTAAAAATTCTTCGTGAAAAATACACTTTTGACAAATGTATATTTAATAGTATAACATAAAACAGTATAAAGTATATTTTATATCTTGCGCGATTATTGAAAGTTAAAAAAATAGTTTATATTTCGCGATTATGATTCATTTTACGAAATATAACAATTATATTTTGTTCTCTGGAACATATTTTTTTGTATGTTATAATAAAACACTAAAGTTACAATAAAATTTTATATTTTTATAAATAAAACTTTTTGTGTAATATTTTTTTTAAATAAATTTCAATAATTTATTTAAATAAGTTACAAGAGAATTTATTTTAATAAGTTGCAAGAGACAGAAATTAGTATATTAATATCATCAATTATTTTAGTGTATATGTATATATATGTATGTAAAAGAATAGAAACAATATACTATTTTAATGAAACTCAACATGTTAGAAAATTGCTATAATTTTATTTCATATTTGATTTAATTTAAATTTTATAAAATTTATCAAATTTTATTTCTCATATTTACATATATAAAAAAGGAAAAAGAGAGAGAGAAAAGAAGAGGAAACCTCAATGATATGTTAAGTATCTTTCATCTTTGAAAATAATAAATTTTTTAAATTCTTTCTATTTTCTATTCTTTATAGTTTTTTATAATTAAAAAAATCAGACAAATGTGTTAAAAGATTTTATCAGAATTCTTAAAACGATATATTCTATATACGCACACGGTTTTGTGTTATAAAATTTGCAAAAAGGTTGGAGATGTAGCAATGACGAAAACAATTAGTACTTACCATCGTTCATGGCCATGTCCATTAGATGCAAGTCCTCGTCATTAAGTAGAGACGAAAGAAATCCATCGGTAGTTTGGTTGATGGAATCTGCTGTCGGTGTATGATAATACATCATATCGTTAGGTTCAGACTTGTAAGTTGCACCGCTCTCCGCACCCATTGGCTCGCTACTGTTTGTCAAATTCATTGATGTTGCCACAGCTGAACCCAAATTCGACGACCCACCTGTAACAGTGAGCAGCTTAGTTCAGACAATGAAATGTTTTATTTTAAATTACTGCATTTCCTTATCTTCTTTTTCGTATAAAAATTGATGTTAGCTAAAATTTTGTTTTTGAGCATGGATGCATAGAGGTGAGAGGAAAAAAGACATAACCATTATAAATTATGCCTGAGAAATTATACTTACATATTACGCTTATCATGAAAATACTTTGACTAAATATTAGCGATATACATATTACATATGTTTAGTTTCATTTACCCCCGACAATATAACACATTGTGAAATTTCGTAATGTATTGCATCAAATAGAAAGAGATAATATGAAATAGGAACAAAGAACTTCCGTACAACTTTGGGCAACACTCACCCACATTGTGGTAAGGTCCTGTTGAATTGAGATCACCGACCGGAGGGGCCAAGGTAGGATTATGGAGCAATACATTACGTTGCGCCTCGTAATGACTGTGACTTATACCGTGTCCTGGATATCCAGGATGCGCTGGATGTGCGAAGTGATCCGGTGCACCCGGGAGGGATAAAAGAGACGCGAGATCTTGCCACCGCTGTTCCATGCTCATCGCTCGCATGAATGGCATGCGACCCTGAAATAAAAGAATTTGATGTTTCTAAAGTTACAATTTCTATAAAAGATAAATGATTTTAATGCCTACATAAATTACACAATAAATAATAATCGTTAATCACTTGAACATTTATAATTTGTTTCGGAATATATATTCTGTGCTTGCTTATATATTATAAATGTAAAATTTTGTAAACAATCGGGACATTCACATTGCTTTCGTCATTCCGTTAGGACTATCAAGATTTCATAATAATCGCATTATATATTTAAATTTATCTTCCATTATTCAGTTCATAATACTGCTGACGAGAACTGCAAGCTCGAAACGTCGATTTGTTAATGTTCTCAATTTTTGTTTTAATCTTTAATCTTAAAACTTACAACACTAACGTTCTTGATTGCTCGTTCACAGTATTAATCTTTCAATTGTTATTACAAACGGATTTTCTTTACATTAAAATGTCATTTCAAAAGAATTTAAAAAATTAGACATAACTTTTTTTAGACATTAATATTGCGATTTTATTTAAATTTTTGATAACTTTCATTCGTACTTAAATCCACGAAATTCTACGCGGTCGTTGGCTCTCGTAGCAATTATCTTATCTGGTACATCCTATTATCATAGAATCGAACATCCATCGATCGAATGTCACGCAAGAGGAATCCCGTGTAGCCGTCGTGCCTGTCAAATGTCAACCAGGTAGACACCTGGATTCCAAAGAGACAGGAACCCCGCTGATCGCGTAGGTGTTGGCTGCACGTAAGATTGGTAAAGAACATTAATAACAGCGGTACTACGTGTCAAAAGTATCCTTTCCCCGTTGTAAGGGCATGCGTCAATCGTGATCGCGTGTCAATCAATACGGAAATTTATGATTAAAAACGCAGCACGTTTCTTATAAGTAGCCACCAAATAAGTACAAGTTACGTGTCGTGGATGTAATTTAATTTCCATCCATCGGACCGATCACTTTTGTCCGAAAATAAAATAAAAATTTTGTTACTCCACATTTCATTTATATCGATATTTTTGACAATACGCATAAAATCCGTACGTCACAAATATGTGAAATAAATATAGAAATTAACACATTAAATATTATCTTTCACACAAAAGCGAATAATAAGCATCTCGTTAGCATATTTCTTGTGCGCTCGTTGGAAACCTGGTGAGACAGGAAACACGGAATTATCTTCTATTTCTCTCTCCCTGGAGGCGCGCGTTTTACGCTTTCGAGGAAAAACAGCTGCGAATTTCATACGGTTCGAGAGTAAAAAAAAATCTCTCTCTTTCTCTTCCTTGGCGACATGCGCGCGAAGAGAATCACGATTTGTCCGCTAATTGTGAGAGAACAGCCTCTCTCGCGTGTACTTTCACGAAATTTCTTCCCGCTCGGCGAGTCGCGAGAAGAAGAAGAAGAGGGAAGAGTGGAGGGGGGGGAGGGAAACGCGAGGCTGCATCTCGTCGGCGTAAGCGCGGTAGTGCCGGCCGCGGGAACGGGGAGGGGAGGTACCGAGGGGGGTACGGTACCCACTCCGGCGCCTTAATGCACATAGGTATTGTCGCTAATGCGCGCCTGGACGCAAGAAGAAGATGAATAGGGAAGCGCGCGCGCGCGCTGCCGCGGCTGGCTGTGCGCTGCCTGAGCCTGTGCTGGATTGTTGTTCGCGCGGGCGCATCAATCAGTCGCCGGTGCAATCTGTCGAGCGCGACGCCTTTAAGGCGATTCTCGCTTGTCAGCGCATCTGCCGGCCGTGTGTAGGCCGCGGCGCGCGGCGAAATGTAGGACGGGGACTTTTGTTCCACGGCGGATTTGTCGTGCAGCGCGACGCACCGCACGTTTCTAATGGCCGGACTTTACGGCTCATCCTGGTTCGACGTAACGGCCGTGATTGAGTTATAGGAAAAAAGCGTGCGCCGCGCGTTTAAGCCTTCTCCTCCTCCCTCTCTCTTTCTCTCTGCCGCGGAGACGGCGGCGATTACCGTCCGCGGTGGCGGCGGCGGGCGAGCGAGGCGCGACAGCTTTCCGCCGCGCCAGGACGCGAGACGCGACTTCCAGTTTTCAATCATCGCCGGGAATACTCGAGATTCGTTATAGCTCGCGGCGGATTAATCCGTGACGGAGATCGTTAACGGACACCGTCCGCCGCGCGAGGAACTGGAGTTCCGCGGACGGTGGATTAATTTTGAATACGTAAAGATGCGATTCAAGGAGTTTAATTGACGGTTTCGTATAATTCTTCATTAAGCGAATATACCAATTCGCTTAATAGCCGACCGTAGGGGAGAAGTTAGAGGGACGCGCGCGGACGTCCGCGACATCGGCCGCGCGCGAAGGCCGATAACGTCGGTGGTTAATCTCGCGCGATTAGATGCACGAAGCGTGATTTATCGGACAGTCGTTAGGGCTGCCCGACGTGGCGTCCATTCTGACGGGCCCGCGGACTCAAATTGGTCCGGTATCTATGCGGTAAACGAACGTTACGTTACGCATTCCTCCTCGGCTACTGGCGCTTGATGATTTATGTATCACACACAGAAACACGCGGCCTGGTGTACGGCACACGTACGTGCGCATATCTCGCGTCCGTGTACCGCGATCTCGCTTCGCGTGCACAGGAGAGTCGTCGCGGAACATATGAATCTGCGAGAGACTGCGAGGAAAGATATCTGCGGCGGCGGCAGATGTTTGAAACGCGCTGTCGAGGACTCGCTAGATTTCTTCCGAGATCTCTCTCCCTCTCTCTTTCTCTCTCTCCTTCTCCTTCAGCCCCCTTCTTTCCCTACCCCGTGGGGCTGTGCGCGCACTCTTTTTCTTCTGGTATTCATTAATATCGCGCAATATCTCCGATGCCTTATCACGATCCATCACGAGGAGTTCGTGCAGAAACAGATCTGAGATTTGTATGAAATTGATTTTATTCTGGTTCGTTAGAAAGCGCATTCATCGCCAGTATTTGCATTTGTATTATCACTCATCACGCTACTTTAATCGGATATGTTTCCAATGAAAACAATCTTGGAATGGAGTTCTTCTATTAATAGTAATGAGAAGCAGAAACGTATTAAGTTTCTGGCGTATAGTTTTGGCTAATTATCAATAAGTGCTACTAAAACGAGCTACGCGAAATGTTCGAATTAACAGGTTTATCTTTGTAGGTTGCCTTTCGCACCAGATCTGCTTTGTAAAAATATCATGTCTCGCTCTGTCGCCTCTTTTTAAAGCGCCATAAAACGCGATCGGTCTCTCCGTTTAGGATTGTTGACTTGTAATTCTGTTTTTCTGTTTTTATTCCCACAATATCGCGACGTGCACGAGCTATAGCGAAACTATTCCGATCTATTTGACGGTGATCAACTGACCGCTTGACACCTGCCATCATCGTCGTTCAACCCGCCGTCTCTCTGCGCGGTCCTCGATCAGTTACCTCGAGTTACCTACTTTCCACCTCAACACGTCGCGTGTGTTTTCGTACGTGACTGCTGGCAAAGCTCGTTTCTGTCACGAAGGTTGTGAATGAAAATATTGATGGATATGGGATTCAGCCCTCACCCTTTATGCACATCGCGGGATATGTGGAAAAAAATATATTTGTCCGCCTTCTCCTCCGCGTTCTCCATCGCGCCAGAAATTTTTCCCAAGCGCTTCGCGCTTTCGTACGCGCATATCTGTAACGACAGGATCTTTCGATTCTTCCCCATTGCGTTCGCCTCTCATCCGAGGATAGGCGCGCGCTTAATCCTTATCCTTAATTAGTGAAACCATTGGAAATTGCATCAGACTGCCGCGTTCTACGTCTATGAGATGCCGATATCCTGCCACGTCTGTTGTCTTTGTTGCGTCCACGCGTGGCCTCAATGACCATACAAAGACAGAAATTCGTTTCACACATCCTAGATAGCGCCGGCCGCGGAGGCGCATTATGCATTTCACAGCGCATAAGTCCAGCAGCTGCTTGGAATCCTGGCGAACGGAACGGAGTGTGACGCCCCGTCGCGTTTCTTGGTTCTTGGTGAAAATTGCCTGGTCGGGGTGCACGTACGTAGGAATTTATGGGCGACAGAAGTGCGCTAAAAACTTAACTTTCTCGCGAGACTTCTGATATTACGCGAAATTGACGTGCATCAGGGATTTTATGAACGCGCGCTCGCGGCGCAATGAAATCTCGTGCAGAGAAAATTTGCAACAAACCGGTCTAATAATAAACTAAATTACACAATTGCAACTATTTGTATTTTATCTATTCCACATATATTCCAATATGTTGGAAAACAATAAGATAACCCATTCGCCAGCATTTTCATTTTACTACTAGGAACAAATATGGAAAGATATTAAATTTGTCATCATTTGAATAACTGAGATTAAGATTCAACTCTTGATCTTAAGACAGATCGGATTTAGTAAATATTTCTGCAAAGAAACGAATAATTTCTACTGCCGATTATATCGCGAATTCAATAAATGCCGGATGTTACGTGTACCGTTTTGTTGAAACACACCGGCGGCGAGTGACCGGAAACGATGATCTCGGTGATGCGTCATCGACAAAACGCAAGTAATTAAAGATACGCGAGAAAAACGTGCGCATTACCCGTGGTCGCCGGTGTGCTCTTACGACTAATGGGCGAAGATATTAATTATGATTCATTCGGATTCATAGTCATCAGATTAATGCATGCCGGCGTGGGTTACCGCGCGGCCTGTGGGTTTGCCAGGTTCTCCGACTATCGCCACAAGTGCAGTCCTAATGTCCGACCGGCGTGTCCGCATCTCCCTCCTTCTTTCTCATTTCCATAGCACACACACATTTCGTTTCTCTTATTAATTTCGTCTTACGGCTCCTCCAGCTCTCGCGGTCCGCGCCTCTCGTCTCTCCGTCTCCGTCTTCGTCTCCGTTTCCACCGGTGCGGATCGTGCCCTCTCTCACGATCTTCTTTCTCTACTCCTTTATCTCCCGCGCTCACCTCTTTCCCTGCCACCGACATTCTCCCGTCCGCCGACTTTCTAC